ACTACATCAAAAACTAATGATGTAATGTATGGTGATTAACATAACAATAAAAAAGCAGTGTTAAACTGCTTAATTGCTGGTGTATTTATTTTTCAGACAAACATCATATCTGAACTAAGCAAATGGAGACTTAATTTTATTGACTGGCACCGAATGGAAATGAAAAAAGAGAAAGAAAAACATGCAGCACACTTAAAACAACTGTGCAACCAGATCAACAGCTTAAAGGAGCTGCAAAAAGCCTATGAAGTTTCCATTGGGAGAAAAGATGAGGTCTTCACTTTTAAATTTCTTTTTAAGTGAGATGCAGTAAAGATCTTGCTAGGTAATAAATGCCAGGAACTGATTATTTAGGTCATACAGGATACAAAGGGAAGATTGTTTCAGAAACTGGAAAAAAAAAACAAAACAGATGCATAGAAATAAGATACATTCGTCCTATTAAACATGCCAAGGTCATGTCATTTAATCTTTGTCACCAACATCAGCGTGCTTAAAGTTTTAAAAAGTGCATGCTAAATGTGGGGACACTGTTTTCCCCCAGTCTTCTTTCCTAACTGCTCTTAAGACAACTTCACGGAACCAGCATTACCCCCATGTTAAACGATGTTTTTAGGGGCCATTTTAGGTATCTCATATTTTATTTGTGATATTTCTTTATTCATGGACAAAGTTTTTTTCCTTTTATTATAGACTCAGCACTTTTTTTTTTTTTTAAGAGAGAGCTCAAGCACCCTAGGGGTGGGAGGGACAGAGGGAGAGGGAGAGAGAGAATCTCAAGCAGGTTTCACGCCCAGGGAGGAGCCCAACACTGGGCTCAATGTCCCCACCCTGAGATCATGACTTGAGCCGAAATCTAAGAGTCAGATGCTTAACAGACTGAGCCACCCAGGTGCCCCACACAGAGAATACTTTTTACTTCACTTTCTTTTAGCCTCTTAAGAATGAGAGAGTAAGGTTCAGGTCTTTGCTAATTTTGTGCCTCCCAACAGCACCTTCAACAAGCAGAATGGGCAGTATATCCACTGCTTCCCTCCCCATCCCCCCCTACCCCCACCCAAGGATGGTGGTTTTCAGAGGTGACACCCCAGCTACTTATCTGCAGATACAGCATTCACTGTTTTAATGAGCTAGACAAAGATTATATATTTTTTTAAAATGTATATTTATTTTGGTGTTCAGGGTATCATGTAAAATCAAACATTTTATATAGTTTCCTTTTTTGAAACAATAGATACTAACGTCAGTCATTTTCTCTATTGCCCTCAAAAATCTGTCCTAAGGTTTTAAAATATTTGATTTGATTTGATTTTAAAGATTTTATTTATTTGACAGAGAGAGACACAGTGAGAGAGGGAACACAAGCAGGGGGAGTGGGAGAGGGAGAAGCAGGCTTCCTGCTGAGGGGCTCGATCTCAGGACCCTAAGATCTTGACCTGAGCCGAAGGCAGACGCTTAACTGACTGAGCCACCCAGGTACCCTAAAATATTTTAAATATATATATATATATTTTTTTAAATATATATTTTTAAATTTCAAAGTATCACACACAAGGGTGTACATGTGTCCAGTTTGAAAATGAGTACGATGAACAGCTGTTTGCCGCCGTAGAGCTCAAGAAATAGAATATTACTAATGTCTTAGCATGTGTACCCTTTTCCACTTTTGAAAATTATTTAAAGAGCCAGAATAAATGTCTCTCGGTAACTATGCCCAATTTACTAAATCTTGCTTTAATGTGGCCAATTTAAAAAATATATTTCAGGGCGCCTGGGTGGCTCAGTTGGTTAAGCGACTGCCTTCAGCTCAGGTCATGATCCTGGAGTCCCGGGATCGAGTCCCGCATCGGGCTCCCTGCTCAGTGGGGAGTCTGCTTCTCCCTCTGACCTTCCCCCGTCTCATGTGCTCTCTCTCTCTCATTCTTTCTCTCAAATAAATAAATAAAATCTTTAAAAATATATATATATATATTTCAGCTACTCAGTTCTTTGTAAGATAGAATATCATTTTAGGATTTAAAAGCCTTCATAGATTTTTTTTTTAAAAGACAGGAAAAACTGAAGAAGTACATTATAGTATAACTATTGTTTGCTTTTATGAGTTTGTTGAATCCAGAAAATCCTTAGCAACTTCTAATCCAAGGTACCAAAGGTATTTAGGGACCAGAAAGATGTTTAAAACCTGGTCCCTACCCTCAAGTCTAATGAACAAGGACTTTCTGTATACGTAGCAAAATATTCAAATGTGTAATTGTCTTTCTTGAATTAAACGTCAATGACCATATTAATTTTCATATACATAAACTTTTTTTGATTATTGCAAAGATACACATAATGAAGATTTTTCTTTCTTTTCTCTTTTGTTCCTCTTCACTCATTGATATGTAGTGCATTCATGTGGCCAAGTTTTTGGTCTTTTTAAAGATAATAATGAAGGTAACTGGATTAATATACTAGTGATGCGGAGGTATTCTCTTGGGCATTTTTTGATATATGAGAAAGTCACTTTACCAATTACTGTTATTGTAGCATCACAATAATTGGGTTAATTGCTGTTTACAGGTAATTTCTAGCTTGTCTCATGCCATAGGCAAGCAAAAGGAAAGGATAGAGCTGATGAGAACATTCTTCCACTGGCGAATTGGCCATGTTAAATGCAGACAGGATGTAAGTATAAAAACAAAATGGAAACTGACAGATTTTAGACTTCTGAACTCAAAAGGGTTTAGGATCACATTTTAGAGTTATTATGAAAGCCAAAGAAAGATTTGTTTTCTAATAAATCAAAATGAATTTATAATTTAATGTTGCTCTTATTTCAAAGGATTTTAGTATAGTTTGGGAAAAAATACCTCGTATTTTGTAGACCAATTGATCTGTCGTTTCCTACTTCGTAGTAAGTTAGTAAGGATTATACTTGACTTATAGATGCCCTCATCATGGAACCCATTTAACAAATTTAATGTCAGATGTGATTATGTGGAGAAAGAATTTATAATCTTTAACATATCATATGCTTCTTATATTGTTTCTACTTCAGAAATGCCTGAATATATCCTCTTCATAAAGAGGCCATACTGTATCAAACATTTGATCCTTAGAGAATCAAAGAAACTATTTCTATATAGCTTCATAAAAATTATCTTTCGTTTGTTTATAATTTAAACTTGAACGTCTTTATTTTCATTAACTAAGAGCTGAATCAGTAGCAGAGTAAATATAAACTAAAAATAATAAATTACTGTATCACAAGTGGAAAAGTATGAGAACATATGTATATCCCACAAGAAGACAGTATAGAGACTCAAGAGTATAGAGGATCGATGTGTGTGTGTGTGTGTGTGTTTTATTTAATGCTCATGTGAGCCATAGAGTGATCTCTGTGTGTTTACTTCTAAGAGATTAATACTTAAGGAAAAGGCTGCTACTATCATGGAACAGGATTTCTCTTTAAAGGATATTTTCTAGTGCTTTCATTGCTTTTATTAATCCCGGTAGATTAATTCTACACTAGTCATATTGAAAAGAGCTATTTAAATGAGAATGTCATATTTTGAAAGTGAAATAATGAGAATATGTTTAACTGTTAGTGAAATAGTTGAGACTGCCATCAGTTTTTGAATAGCTTTTTAAATTTAAGAAAATTGAAATTGGAACTACTTGAAAAGAATTTAAATTCATTGATAAAAAGAAGACTGGCATATGCTTCCATCTGGAGCTGTTTAGCACTCTATGGTGGCAAAGCGTGTGAATTAAGTTAGCCTTGCTTATGGCGGCGGCCACCAGGACGAAGAGAAAGCAGTGGCACCTGAAGCCACAGGCACCACCCTCTCGGCCTTGCAGCCACTCTCTCGTTCATCTTGGCCTGCTTTCAGCTAAAAGGTGCTACAGATTCGTAACTCCGAGGGCAAGTTACTCGTTTCCTTTCATTTGTTATTTTGTTTTGTTTTTTCCTCCTAACCGGATTCGTGGCATACAGCAGTGATGTAAGGATAAGAGCTTAGGTTCCGAAATGAGGCGAGGCTGGCTTTTCCCTTTCTACTTGGGTGACCTGGGCAGGTTACATAACGTCTCTAAGCCTGTTCTGTCTGCAGATGAGAATAACGTGATCACACAGGCTTAGATGGTAATGTATGTACACTGCTTACCACAGGGTTACATTATGTTTTTTAGTATCCCTGCCAATGTATTTACCAGTCACTGTGTTTTTGAGGTTGTGTATTACTTTTATTTAGGTCTATGAAGGTAAACTAGCTGACCAGTACTTCCAGAGAACTTTACTGAAGAAGGTCTGGAAAGGCTGGCGGTCCATAGCACAGAAGCAGTGGAAAGAGGTAGTAGAACGAGCTTGTCAAGCAAGAGCGGAAGAAGTTTGTGTCCAGATTTCCAATGATTATGAAACCAGAGTTGCTGTGGTAAACTTCTTTTCATACTTTGACTTTCTTTTAATAAAAATTAAAAAAAAAAAACTGTTTATACTTAGGCAGAGTAACCCATTTCCAGTTCCATTTAGTGCCATGTAGGTTCAAATTAGACATCCTGGCGAGAACACTAGCAAGTCAGACCTACAGACTAACTTAACTCTGACCTCCAAATTTGTGTTGGCTCTCCTGCATGTACGTTTCCCTTGGAAATGTAAATCACCTATAGACCCTTACATTTCTAAGAAAGCATGCTTTCTTAAGATTCTTCATTTGGCCTTTATTGAGCCAAAAGTAAAGACCCAAAACAAAAATGTTTATCCTTATGTTAATTTAAGTAAATTATGTTCTGATAAGGTTGATATAAAGCAGTTGCATATAAACTGAAGTTATTTTCCTATTGACTTTTAGTAATAAACATTGTTTCCAAAGGAAAATATTTGAGACCCAAAATGAAATAAAAATGCAGTAGGCCTCTTGAAATCAAATAGTAAAAGAAAACATTTTTTTCATCATTATAGCACTAAGTTCTTAACGTTAAAAATAAGATTCATTGTACAAATAATTTTCTGCAATTCAAAATGACATGCGAAAAAAAAACAAAAAATGGCGGTCCCTTCAGATTTGGTCTATGGGATAGAGTGTTGTACTTAATGTCACTTTGCACTTTAAATTCTATAGATAATGTTTAAAAGGAAGGAAGGAAGGAGGAACAGGAAAGAAAGATTCTGTTAATAGTGCATTTAGGTATTTTTTTTCTGAAGAGATGAGAGTCTGTCTGTGGCTCTTAATGTATTTTGTTTAATATTCTACATAAGTTTTATGGTAAGAAATTACATATCTGTTTGGTATAATTAAAACACATCAGCAAGATTTGGTGGGACCGGCATGAAATTCCCCTTGTTTGAAACTTGATTTTATGGTTAGAAATGAAAATGGTTTTTTGATAGAGACAGTAGAGGTAAAATGCACCTTTTAAAATTAATTGAGGTACATAGCGGAAGAGGTATGTGGTAAAGTGTTTTTAGTATTTCACATAAAATAACTTCAGAGCCTGACAAGATGGCCACACTGCCAATACCAGCAAGTACTCCTGCCACTACTCCAGCCCTGGCCCTGCCCCCGGCCCCAGCCCCAGCACTGGTTCCAGCTCCAATGCTGGCTCCAGCCTCATCCCCAGAGCCAGCGGCTAAAGCAGCTAGGACCGTGGCTCGGATCCAGACCCGTAGTCCTCTTCCCTTCCCCCCCCCGCCCCCCGCACCCCGCCCCCCGCAGCCATGTTGTCCAGCCACACCCGGTCATTTTGGCATCCATTGTGGAGAGCCATGATGCAATGGGGGCACTGCCCCAGTTATTGGGACCCTGCTGAGAACTGTTGCCAAGCATTCAACGGAAGTCACTAACAGCTTCTTTTCAGTACCTCCCAATGAGTCAGAAGATGAGGTAGCTGTTGATGTGAAATTTGCTAAGAACATGTATGAATTACACAAGAAAGTCTCTCCAAATGAGCTCATCCTGGGCCAGTACGGCGACAGGCCATGATGTTACAGAGTACCCTGTGCTGATACATGAGTACTACGGCAGGGTAGTTTCCATCCCCATTCACCTCATTGTGGACACGAGCCTCCATGAGCATCAAGGCCTAGGTCAGCACTTTAATGGGTATCCCTGGGAGTACCCCAGGGGTGATGTTCACACCTCTGACAGTGAAATATTCATATTATGACACTGAACACATTGGAATCAACCTGATCATGATGACCTGTTTGAGCCCCAACCAGGTGTTCACACTCTCAAGCAATCTGCAAGTTGGAGGGGCATTGGTTTACATCCGGATGCCCTAAGCACAGGGTTGCAGTATACAGAGGATGTGCTGTCTCAAAAGGTGTCAGCTGACAGTACTGTGGGCCGTTCCTTGAGGAGCCTGGTTAACCAAGTACCCAAGATAATTCCCAATGACTTTGATACCATGCTCAACAGCTACTTGGCCAATCTCATAGAGTCACAGATTACGGTCACTGAGAAACTTATAAGCCTGTGAATGGGCCCCAAGCAGCACTCCGGCCAGTCTGGGCCACCCTAGGACTCAGAATGGAGTGAAGTAGAATGGTTTCCTTATGGTTTGGGTCACACTGAGTCAGTCAACTCCTTGTGACTCTAAATAAACATAGCCTGCCTTTTGTAAAAAAATAAATAACTTCACAATGTAAGTCTATTTTTTGAATTATTATCCTTCCGTGTGATTCAAATCTTTTTCTTCTTTTTAAAAATTCCCCTTATTTAGTTATCTGGAGCTTTGGAAAATGCAAAAGCTGAGATTCAAAGAATGCAGCATGAAAAAGAGCACTTTGAAGATTCCATGAAGAAAGCTTTCATGAGGGGGGTGTGTGCATTAAATCTCGAAGCCATGACTATATTTCAAAACAGAGGTGATACAGGTTAGTATTTTGTATAAGGTTCTCCGCCTACTTTCAAAAAGGATTTGAGGAGATTTCAGTGATTGGTGTGGTCTGTAGTACTGATTTTCTGCAATGACTATGTCTTATCCTGGTACTGGTATTTTTAACTTGATGGTGTCATATCTTTTTAAATCTGCCATGAAAATTCACCCAGTTTTAGTTACTTATGGTATCTTAGATCTGATTAAGTAAACTGTCAAATCTTAAGTGTTTAGGCTCAATGTTAAAATGATGTTTTGAATACCAAACGTTATTTTAAGGCTCTTTTAGCTAATAATTGCAGTGCTTTCAAGTACAAAATTTTTATTTATTTATTTATTTTTAAGTAGCCAAATTCCTTGGACCATTTTGTTGATTAAATATTTATCTAGTCACGGTTTCCCATTTTAAAAATTGCTTGTTTTCAATTTAAGAGAGACCTCAACTAAAACTAATTTTCAGCAAATATAAATATAGGCCTATATACAGAAGTCAAGTAAAATAATTTTATTTCAAGAAAAGAAAAGTCCACGTTTTAGCTGGAATCTGTGTGGTTTATGTGGGTGTTTCTTCAGCAGGGTTTGGAATAGCACATGACTAGAGTCTTTGCCACTAATTTGGACCGAGGCCTATTTTCCTTAGTGGGTTTTAGTTTTCTTCTCTGAACAAAGAAAATAATATAAATCTTCCCTACCTGCTTCACAGAGGGTTCTTTTGGAAATGTAGTGAAATATAATTGGAAGCTCTTTAAAAGACAAAAACATACTTTGACATGTAAGATGATAGCAATGATATAATTATTGCTGTCTTGATTCAAGTCAGCCTGTTTTATGTAAATACATGAACATTTTTTGCAGTATATCCTCATATTAAATCATATTTGAGATTCGCAGTTTATTTATCAATGAGACAATTTCATTTTGTAATATCAACATTCCAGTACAGTGTGAATAACTTTTCTGTGGTTGTCATACCTTCATTTTAAAGCATCTTCAAACATTTATTATTTAAATTGTGTGTGTTGTTGATACTAGCAAGTTAAGGCAAATAACTTTTTTCTGAAGCAGTCATGGTGTATGGTCCCCATGTAGGTTAGAAATTTAGAATCCTAGAATCTCAGGCCAGAATAGTTTATCTTGCTTAATACCCAAAGGAGTACTTGATTTCTCCAATAAATGGTCTTTTAATTGAGTATCAACACTGCAAACAAACTCACCACCACCAGTTGTAATTATTAGCAAGTTGTATATATTAAATTGAAGAATTTAAGTATCTACGTATAACAGACCTAGATTTCACAAGTTAAGTGACAAATTATACTTCCTACATTCAATTGTAAGAGACCTGTTTCTCATAACCTACAGAAGAAGGTTATGAATTGACTAGGATGGAGTGTTTTACCACCTTAATTACTTTACTGTCTTAAATTTTAAATTCAAATACAGCTTTCTCTCCTACAGGCAAATATCCAGAACAGGATTTGGAGAAAATGTATTCTGATAATTACACAACATGATTTGTTTTGCCCCTGTTGCTTTTAAATCTCCTTTTATCTGCAGCTAATGCCAAGTCCTGGGATCTTAACTGTGTGAGTGGCCTGGTGGTTTGTTTATCATCACAATGGGGGATAAAAATGACAGGAATAGTAAGACACACACTAGCAGTAGCGTTGGTAGAGCTACCATACCGAAAGCAAAAGTTCAATGTTAACTAATGCTAGGTTTGCTCTGTGATGTGTAACTTTGTGGCATTTCATTAACAGCTTTAAAAAATATTTAATTCTCACAAGAAAAAAAATTACTTCTGGCCCTTCTTCCCCTAAAACAACTGTTTTTTATAACACAGTTTTTAATAATGTTCTGTCTATCTTGTCATAACAGAATACTTGGTTTTTTGTGTGTCCTCTCTGCTGTCCATGATCTGCAGTGCATCTCATGCTGTGTAGTATCCTAAATCTTTAAAGATTAGAAATTAGAAGTTTTATGAAGAAGGCAAAATGTGACAATAAAAATGGCCTTTAAAATGGTACCTGCCAAATATTAAAGCAATTTTAGGAACAGCAGAAAAATGCTTTACAGATGAAAAAACTTATCCCAGTTAAAACGAGAATAATTATTAACCTTATGGTGATTGGCCAAAAAGGAACTGCATAAATCAGCCCACATTAGCAAGAGTTAGTCAGCTACCTCTATTCCAGGGAATCCCAACGTGAGAACTCACCTTTGTACTGGCTCCACATCTAAGAAGTCTGCCACCCACCTAAAAAGACACAATCAGAATCACTTGCTATCAAAAACATGTTAAAATTCTGTATGTGTGTTTTGTTTTTAAAGTAAAAGCAGTACTTTATATTGAATTAGTCCCTCTTCATCAAAGGATTTCAAAGGATCTATGCATTATAATCCTCATTAAACGTTGTTAATGAGTTACTATTACTCTGTTTTATATAAAGATAGCCAAAGAGAAGGACTTACACAGAAGCCCAAATTTCCAGGACAAAGAAGACAACATCAAAAACCATTTAAACGTAGGGCTATTTAACACCCTCTCTTCAGACATTCTGAAACATCTCAGTGACTGAATTTCCAAACCCTCACCCTGGTGTTAGGTGCCACATAGATACAGACTTAAGTGGAAATTTTAATACTGGGGTGGGGGGGCGGAATCTAAATTTTGAAGAAACGCTTTGCTCTAGCTTCTGGAAGCCAATGTTACTCCTTTGATCTAAGGGTAAGTTTCATTTTTGAGAGAAGGTGTCACTAAAATCAGTTAAGTGTGCAAATATACCTTAATTCATGAGTTATATAATCTACTTGCAAGAACTGATTTCTTTTACAATGTTAATTAAAAGTAAAAATTTTAGTGTTACTTACTGATTTATTATTGTGTGCTGAAAAATCAAGTTTAAAATATGTTGAGTTTGTTTGGATAGGAACAACAGATGGAAGTGAGAGGGTATAGTGATATCAGAAAAAAAAATTCAGCAGCTCTAAATACCAGGCCATCAATCAGGACAGTTGTATGAAATGATGCAAAAGGACATAAATCCTTAGATTGATTGTGACCATATTATTATAATGGCTGTTTTGGCAATACATTTTACTCAGCTGATATCCTAGCTGAGTACACACTTGTTTTTATCTTTTACATAAGAGGAAATCTTCATTAGCTTTCACATATTGAAGAAAATGGTCTGAAGTCTTTAGTGGTTAGTGCTAACATTACCCAGTTAATAATGCTAAACATAGTATGCAATACATGACAAATTTCTACATTTTCTTTAGAACCAAATGTTAGCTATTAGGTATTTTCATTGTTGGGGGGCATGAAACGAATCTTAACCTGGAAGAATTTTAATGGAATTAATTTGTAATTTATAGGACTAGACTTCACAAATAGAAAAGAAGAGTATGGCCCTGGCGTTCAAGGCAAAGAACATTCTGCTCATTCGGATCCTCTGGCCCCTCCAGTGCCCCCAGTGGTTGCACTGCCACAGTCCCCGCCCCCAGCTGCCATGGGAGCGGCCGGCGCCGCTGCTTTTCCTTCCGCCGCTTCCATCCCGTCGGCTGGGGCTCCTTCCACTTCCTCTGCTCACCTTCCTGTTTCTGCAACTCTCGGCGCTGGGTCTACAGCGGCTGCTGCACCAGAAGAAATGGTTAGTACAGGGACTACAGGTGCCCGCGTGGGGAAGGGGGCTCAAAACTTGCTCGTATATTGGAGACTTGGAACGTAGAACCTATTCTCTCCTGGAGGAAAAATCTGTATGGTATTTAGGCCCAGCCACAGAAAATATTTAATACACGAAGTAGTTAAAACAATTTTTTTAAAGATTTTATTTATTTATTTATTTATTTATTTATTTATTTAGAGAGAGTGAGAGAGCACGAGAGGGGGTAGGGTCAGAGGGAGAAGCAGATTTCCCACGGAGCAGAGAGCCCCATGTGAGACTCGATCCCAGGATTCGGGGATCATGATCTGAGCCGAAGGCAGTCGCCCAACCAACTGAGCCACCCGTAGCTAGCTGAAAGTTCTATTATAGTAGTGATAATTAAAACAAAAATAAATTTTTTATATCACATTTTTCAAGAACTATTCAGGAAAATAGAGAAAGAGTTGATGACAGACTTTATTTTGAAGGGAACTCTAGTGCGTATTTCGAAGGGCTTAGAAGATTAAGGGCTCCTTTGTATATTTTGTATTCAACTACAGCTTTGCCTTTTCCTGGATGTAGATATATCGTTAACACTACTCTGTAGTTACTCCGGCTTGATTTGATTAGGTTGTAATTCACGATTGGAATAAAGATGGAAGTAGTTTTTCCTAGTCACTGAGCTACTTGCAAGAGAAGTACATAGAGCATGGAACTTTTGAATGGGGATGGAGTATTTGTGTGAGAACTTGCCTGAAGGGAAATTAATCAAGCTAATTAATATGGAAGAGTTACAAAGCATGTCAGGGTTCTGACTCCTGAGCCTCCTCTTGTTAAACCTGTGTTCTTCAAACAGCGATTCTCAAAAGTGAAGGGAGTGGAGATACAGTCCAAACTTACCGGACTCACTTCTGCAGGGCTTTTTTAAAAACAATGTATCCCCTTCCCTACACGGTTTTGGGTTAGGAACAAAGGCATGTCTAGTTTTATAAAGCTCCTGAGGTGATTCTGATTTGCTTGTGTCCCTCTCCTGCCGGACCCTACCCACTTACCTGAGGGGACAGAAGATGGCAGAATAGGTTTTATGTCTTATGGTGCCCCTGGCAGACCCTCAGAAGCTGCCATTGCCCTGGACGGCTCTCTGGAGCTAAGGAAGGCATTGAGTCAGTCAACTGGTCATCTGGAGTATTCCAGCTGACATGAATTTCTGCCTTTTGGAAGCTATTAACTTCAGGGAAAAATATGTTGAGATCTGATGTTTATCACGTTTGCTCTTGATTCAAAGAGGTTAAAAAATATAGCTGTTAAGAGAAATTTGAATGTGTGAGGGAGTTTTGACTTAGAAATAAGACACTAAAATTCAACTCTGACGTGTTCGGCTGTGTTTATTTTTCATGATTACACATTTTCAAGTGTGATCCTATACAGATGATCTCATTTAAGTAAACACAGTGTTTATTTAAATTTCTGGTTTGTCATTCATGTTGCATATTCAGATAATACACAGACCTGGATTTTTCAAAATTCCCTTCAAATATGACTCCACCATTTGTACATCTGCATTTATATATAAACCTGAACATGCACAGGAAGAACTGAATGAATGAGTATGCTTACCACCCTATTTGTTACTTTTTGAAACCATTTGAGATAATTTTGAAGTCTTTGAAACCTGAAAAACACAATATTGTGTAGACAGCCCTTCCAGCTACATCCTCCTTCATTAATAGATACACATTCAATTTTGTTCACATAAATACAGCCTTTAGGGTTAGGGGGAGAGGAAAATCAGAAGTAAATCACTCTAAGTATAATGCTAGTTTTCTTCCTTACATAATTATAGTCATCAGATTCAGATTCACCTCAAATGTGTCTTCTTGTTTTTAAAAAGAACCATAATAACAAAAGGAGGAACAAGAATATTAGTTGGCTAACTCACCTAATGTGAAACCATCATTGTTAGGACTAGGAAAGGAGAGATTTGTGAGGTAGGCCTGGTTACCTTTCTTTTCGTTTTAATCACAGAGGCTTCCTAGGAACTATTCAAAACTTCTTCCAGTCTTAGTATTTTCAGTTGCTAAAAGGAGGTGTTTACAGAGAAAAAACTGCAGAGCCTGGGAAACAAATAACTGGAGAAAGGAGGATTACCATCCTAGTAAAATAATACCTTCATCTGTAAAATTTTTAATTTCTGCAGACATCCTCAATATGTTAAATAACATACCAGAATTTCATGGTGGAAAGCACTTTTCAAGAAATACATTAGGCAGTTATAAAGCAAGTATGTTGCAGTTCACAAGGCTGGACAATAGGTGGCACTTTATTTTTTCTAACTCCCAGTTGGAATAATTGAGGGGTTCCAGTGGATTTTTAAACTCTTTAGTAAAGGTGCCCTCTTAACTTTCCTCTTCATCTGAATGGAAAGTGAGAGGGTGTCTTAGGCACCCAGCACTGCTTTCCTCATTTTACAAATGGAAACTGAGGTTTAGGGAGAGAGAGGGAATAACTTGCCTGTGGACACAAGCAGTAACAGAGCTGGAATTCAGACTTTGACAGTTTGGCCACAGAGCCCTGTTTCTTAACCGATAATCGGGTTTGTCTCCATGTCAAATATTAAGAAACAAATACTGAGGGGCGCCTGGGTGGCTCAGTTGGTTAAGCGACTGCCTTCGGCTCAGGTCATGATCCTGGAGTCCCGGGATGGAGTCCCGGGATCTAGTCCCGCATCAGGCTCCCTGCTCGGCAGGGAGTCTGCTTCTCCCTCTGACCCTCTTCCCTCTCATGCTCTCTATCTCTCATTCTCTCTCTCTCTCAAATAAATAAATAAAATCTTAAAAAAAAAAAAAAAAGAAAGAAATACTGAGGGGTGCCTGGGTGGCTCAGTCGTTAAGTGTCTGCCTTTGGCTCGGGTCATGGTCCCGGGGTCCTGGGATTGAGCCCCACATTGGGCTCCTTGCTCAGCGAGGAGCCTGCTTCTCCCTCTCCCACTCCCCCTGCTTGTGTTCCCTCTCTCACTGTGTCTCTCTCTGTCAAAATAAATAAAAATCTCTAAAAAAAAAAAAAAAACAAATACTGAGTTTTAAAAAATATGTCATTTCCCTTTTCTTTCTTAATCCTTTTGATTTTGTTGCATTTGTTGATATGGCATAAAATGCTAGAATTTCCATTTTTAGGGCATTTTTAAAGTCAATTAAGCTGATAAATTTAATGAGATCCAACATGACTGGGACGAGTAAGTGGTCATTTAGTCAAAAGGTCAGTTAAAAAAAGTTAAAGCAGGAAATTTTTAAAAATTATATATACATATATTACATACCATTTTATGTTCAAACGTAAGTGTATATATTAATTTGCTAGTGTAGCTGAACTGAGTATGGGTTCACAGATTGTAATTAAGCTATCTTTTTTATATAAGCTATACTCAGTGGACTATTTTTTCTGTAATTTCCAGTTTCACTTTTTGTAAAGTAAAGCTAGAACCTAACAAAACTTGCAATGCAATCTGATTATAGAACAAACCATTTGAAAACAAAAAGCAGACCTGGTAAACATGCAAGTCAATTAAGACAACTATTTATTTCAAAGAAGTGTATGGAGGTTCCTTTTTAGTCCTTATTTCTTTACTGGAGTATGTATTTCCATCTTACTGAAGGCATTTTATTTTATTTTTTTAAAGATTTTGTTTATTTCAGAGGGCGAGAGCACGAACCAGGGGGAGGGGCAAAGGGAGAGGGAGAAGCAGACTCTCTGCTGAGTAGGGAGCCCCACTATGCTTAACCCACTGAGCCATCCAGGCGCCCCCTGTTGAAGGCATTTTAAAGCAATTCTCAACTGGTTGGGTGAAGGTTATCAGCCATGGGCATTTTCCCAACTACTCTAGTTTTTCTCATTCCACATGTCTCCCTGTCAAAACTTACATAGTTTTTCGTTCATTCCTTCATCCTCCAAGTAAGAACAGCTGTTATAGTTGGGAGTGTTTATACCCCTCAAATGTGACTGGGCAGGAATAAGGTTACCAGCTTAATTGTACTTCAGTTTTCAATTTTTCATAAAAATATTCTTACTGGCAAATTTTATATTTTACATTTTAAAATGGTTTTTAAAACTCTTCAGCAGTTTATAAAGTCTTTTTTATACCTTATTTTAATAAGAAATAGGATAAAGTTTCCCTAAGGTCAAAAGCATGAATTTAGTCCACAAAAACATATTTGTAAATATTTTAGGATCAGAGTTTTGGTTTCTTAAATTCATAAGACCCAGTTTCTACAGTATTATAGTGAGAAACAGTTGTCTAAACATCTCTCCCTAAATTCTAAATTCTTCCATTAGCTGTTTCTATTTACCTTTTTTTCCCTAAATAATATGCTCATATCATCATTTCCACATGCATCAGTTTCAGACATTATCTGTTGGACTTTTTATTATGGATGAAAGAATTTGGCCTTTTTATACCACCTTATTTCTTCCCTTCCCCTCCCTCATCCACTGTATGAATGTATGTATGTATTTGAGAGAGAGAAAGAGAGCGTGTGAGCAGGGGGAGGGGCAGAAGGAGATAGAGAATCTTCAGCAGGCTCCACGCTCAGCACAAAGCCGGACTTGGGGCTCAATCTCACAACCCTGAGATCATAACCTGAGCCAAAATCAAAAGTCGGATGCTGAACCAACTGAGTCACCCAGGCGCTCCTCCACTTTACATATTTAGATATAGATATTCCAGCTTTGCATTGTTAAAATTTATGATGACTATGTAAATATGGCTAAGCTACAAATGTATACTATGCCTACATTTCCTTTCTAGTACAATTTTTTGTTCCTGGAACTGATTCCTTCATTTTTGTCTTTGCTTGGTTTTCTGTGCAACTGTAATTAAGTCTCAAATCCAAACTCTCCAAGGATTTACAAAACCTCACCGAGTGCTATTTTTCTAGAGTCCTCCCGACACATCAATATTCTATCATTTTAATTTTCCCAGAGACATTTCTCATGGAATCCACTATATTCTTTCAATATACAGCTGTGACCATCTGTAGCTAGATGCAGATATGTAAAGAACTTCAATGAATGAAACCTCAGATGGACTAGAACAGTGAGGAAAGATCACTATTTAATAATGCTTTTGGAAAAACTACCGTTAGAGGGAAAATTAATTTAGATTCATAATTCACACTGAAATTTCAAATGTTTTAGTAAGTTAAACCCAAATAAATAAATGTTAGAAGAGTATAATTACCACAGCTGTCCAAAGCAGGCTGCTTGATTCAATTATGGAAGAAATTAATGATAAAATAAGCTATAATTTTTTAAATTTATGTGCATTGAAAAATAAAACAGATAAAATGAAATAGGGAAAATACTATTAGATAAGTATCTGTATCAGGAGCAATTAAACATTCATCAGGAGCAATTAGACATTTTTGAGAGCAATACCCATTCCTGGCAAGTAATTAAAGAACATGGATAGTTGACAAAATGAACTGCAAATATGAAAAATTAATAAGGGGGCTCCTGGGTGGCTCAGTCATCAAGCGTCTGCCTTCAGCTCAGGTCATGATCCCAGGGTCCTGGGATCGAGCCCCGCATTGGGCTCCCTGCTCAGCAGGAATCCTGCTTCTCCCTCTCCCTCTCCCTGCCGCTACCCCTGCTTGTGTTCCCTCTCTCGCTGTGTCTCTCTCTCTCTCAAATAAATAAATAAAATCTTGAAAAAAAATTAATAAGGAACCACAAATTAAATCAAATATATATGTTATTCCTGATAGAAATATAATCTTTCTGGAGTATCATCCAGCAGTAAGTAACAAAAGCTGTAAAAGCTGGCATTACCTTTTGATATCATCATCTCATTTTTGCAAAATATTCTATAGAAATAACTCAAAAGGGGAATCCTCATTTACAAAAATTTGTTTCCTATTAAAATAGGAAAAGAACTGAGTTAGATAAACCTTAGTTTGTTGGTTATTAAAACCTCATTAAAAATGATAGCAGGTCTCTGTATTCATGAGAAAAAGTATATTAACAAAGCAATGAAAAAGAACACAAAAGCATATGTCTAATGAGAAGCATATGTGTAAAATTAATTATACATAAGGATCAAAAGTGTTCATAAAACAGAATAATGGTTGCCAAGGGTGGTTGAGGAAGGGAAATGGGTATGATTCTAAAGGGCCACAAGAGGGAGACTGTGGTGCTAGAATAGTCCTGTGTCTTGATTACGGTGATAGTTACAGTAATCTAGACGTGATAAAAATGACACGGATCAAGACTGATGAATCACAGACCTGTACCTCTGAAACAAATAATACATTATATGTTTAAAAAAAGAAGAAGAAGAAGATAGTAGGAAGGGAAAAATGAAGGGGGGGAATCAGAGGGGGAGACGAACCATGAGAGACTGTGGACTCTGAGAAACAAACAGGGTTCTAGAGGGGAGGGGGGTGGGGGGATGGGTTAGCCCAGTGATGGGTATTAAAGAGGGCACGTTCTGCATGGAGCACTGGGTGTTATACACAAACAATGAATCATGGAACACTACATCAAAAACTAATGATGTAAAGTATAGTGACTAACATAACATAATAAAGTTAAAAAAATAAAATAAACTGCTAATCAGCACCAAAAAAAGAATGACATGGATCTGTAATACCAAGGCATTATACCCATGGCAGCTTCTTGGCTTTGACATTATAATTATACTATACTTATATAAGATGAAATCATAGCAGGAAACCCGGTGAGGAATACACAGGACCTCTCTATACTATCTTTGCAACTTCCTATGAATCTGTATCTATTTCAGAATAAAGAACTTTTTAAAAAGTTTGCAAGAAAAAAATAAATAAATAAATAAATAAATAAATAAATAAATAAGTTTGCAAGATCCTATAAAATGGTCGGTACACCCAAGGTTAAAGGGATGTTTTGGGGTGCTTGGTTCTATGTTCTGCTTTTTGTCTCATTGTTTTAAGTTTATTTTTTCCATCTTACAGTTGGTTAATATACAGTTATTTTTTAAGTGCCTATGTATTTCCCTCATAAGTTATAGAAGCAAAAGTACTATATATTTTACCATGAAATTTCTACCAGTTGGGTATTTTTTTTTTTTTTTTTTTAGTATGTGCCCAGAGTTGTGACATCTGCACAACAGAAAGCTGGAAGAACAATTACAGCCCGGATCACAGGGAGATGTGATTTTGCCTCAAAAAACAGAATTAGTAGCAGCTTAGCTATAATGGGAGTTTCTCCTCCCATGAGCTCAGTTGTTGTGGAGAAACATCATCCAGTCACAGTGGTGAGTACATATTTGATGACCTTTGTCAAAAAAATTTTTTCCTGAGAGTTTATAGACTAATAAACACTTAAGCTACATGTTGAGGAGAAGATGAAAATTCATAATGACTCTTGTTCTACCTTTTATTATGATACTTTGTATACTTACAATTATCAAAACTGTTCTGAATCTACCTTTCCTCTTTTAGGAAATTAATTTCAGAAACACTGTTTCTTCTCAACAGTGTAAAAATTATCAACACAAAAAGTAATCCACTATGTTGGTGACCAAAAGAAATATACAAATGATTTCTCATTAATTTAAAAAGAAGAGACAAAAGCTGTTTACTCATTACCTGCTGTTCATGTAGCAGGTATTTGATTATAAGAAGCACTTCCCTATTTTTATAGTCTTTAATTTTTGCTTTTTTTTTTTAAGTCTTCTTCCCCTTTTTTCTTTTTTTTTTAAGATTTTATTTATTTGAGAGAGAATGAGAGAGAGAGAGAGAGCATGAGAAGGGAGAGGGTCAGAGGGAGAAGCAGACTCTCTGCTGAGTAGGGAGCCC